GTGTTAGAAATAACACTACGGTTCTCCTCATATACGAGGCAATGGCTTATTCCGTGTTCCTACACCACATCTGTCTTAGATCACAGTTCCACCAACTAGTCCTGGAGGTGGCAATTGATGAACAACAGATATGTGCGGCCTCGAATTTGGTTGTTAGACCGAAAGTAGCTGCAGATCCAGTTGAATTTACTGATGAGACCTAGTATCGTTTCTCAGTCTCATGGTCGGTGTCAACTGGACCAGTTGACTCGTGGGTGCTTTCTTGTAGTACAGAATATGTAGTGATGGCTGGCGCGCGAGATGTACTAAGGAGGGCGTCCGAGAACGTTACTCAAAGAAGAGAGGGGTAGTGTAATGCATTGTGATATAAACCACCTGACGTGGGCTGCCCTTCAGGCCATGTCAAGGCCCATTTGTCATGTTGTCTACGGAATACATGTACCCAGCTGCACTTACTGACTTCTAATACCGGCTGGGAGGTCTCGTGATGCAACACTCGGGACGCCACTTATCCAACTAACAAATTTCGAACGATTTATAAGTGCATAACCTGATTGTTCATCAAAATGCTTGTCATCCCAGGCAAAAAATTAGAAAATTTGATAACTTTTACCTTTAGAATAACTACGAATTCGTTTTTGCATATGTTTTTGATATCTTTCTAATTTTACTCTAATACTTGCTGTTTGAGGCCTCTTTGTTTAGAAAATGACTTATAGAAATAAAATATAATGACGATGCTCTGCGCTCCACTGTTTGTGCATATGGGATGATGCTGTCATCGGGCACAGAATGAGAGGTTTAAGGTATGATTATTTGTTTCAAGCCTACTTAGTAATAAGTTTCTTTAATTGCGCCTCATGTAAAAGCAGTCGGAACCATGTCAAAAAGGGAGATCCATCCAAGGGAAGGGCTGGGAGCTCGGATCCGAGTGTCAACGAGTCCAATCCTTCATCAACCGGTGATTATTCAGCAGTCAATAAAAACATACAGAATGGAATTGTAAAAGAAAACCTACTTATTGCGAATGCCAACCAGCTCACCAGCTCTCATAACAGGCTTGATGCAAAGTCGATCAGCCTTGCAAATGAAAGCATTGATGCTTCAAAGATTAATCTTCTCCCAAGTGACAGTTGTAGTATTTTAATGAAGCAATCCGTGGATCGGATTTCGAATTCTGAACATTCAGATATTTATAAGAGACTTGATGCTGTAGTTCAACGTTTAGAGCATCTTCTAGACACCGATGACCTCCGTATTGTGTTTTTAGATTTAACCAGTTTCTCTAGTTAGCAGCGACCACTCCGGAATCGTTGCTTTTAACGCCATTTTAACAGGAAACATGTCATACTATGTTGATATTGCTACCTCAGTCGGTGAGTCGGCCAAAGAACAAGCAGCTCTTGTACGAGAAGCCTTTCAACTCTGCCTAAACATAATGCAAATGTCTCGAAAATACTCTAAACCATCACCACTGGAAATGGCAAAAATCATGCAGCCACTATCGTTCAAGTTGTTTGAGATAGCCGTAAGTTGGTGCCTGGCCTGTGCGTAGTTATTGTTGTTTCGCAGGAGGTTGCAAACCGTAATAAGTCACACATATTTTACCAACCACTGTTGACAATATCGGATTCGGTGAGCATCCTCTCTTGGATTAATATGGTAGGTCTGACATTTCTCGTAAATTCGCAAACTTTCAGTCGTGCTCAGCTATCTTTGTCAAAGATGTGGAGAATGCAACCAAAGTGTCCGCGAATAGCACCACTCAGATGTATCGCGAGTCGTAAGTTGCGGTTGTGGTCGTCGATGTGCGATTACTTTCCCCTTCCCTGTCCCTCGCCGCAGTTGCTTCAATGATGTCACTTTGACAAGTAACGAGTTGGTCCTGCATGTGATTCCGCGTCACTGGTCACGATTTGTGGATATATTGTAGCGTAGGGTCTAGTGCTTGGATGACTTTCACGAGACACCACGCAAGGATGCCATTAAAGTGGAGGAGTTTGGTGCATGTCCGGATAGCGCGGTGTCATTCAGCTGACGTTAGTCTTTCTGTTGTGGCGTTTGAGTGATGAATGAAAATCTTTGGCACGGATGGAATCAAACTGTAGCGAGTGTCGTGGAATCAGAGTTGGGATAAAACTGGTGAGGCCATGGATGTATGTGCTCAGCATGGCTGATTTATGGAGCCTCGAGGCGCTGTGCGCTGAGGGCTTTCACGGCTGATTAAAGAGCATTACGAACCACTGTAATGTAAGTCTTCTCTTCTTCCGTAGACGTACACATATTTTACGCCTTCCTTCAGAGAAGTGGCGTTTGTCTACGCACGTTGGTGTTTTTGTATGCTAACACAAGTTGCTAATCAGTATGATTATGATTAGATGGGGGCACTTAGTGTGGTCATTCTTACGCATGTAAAGCAAGGTGTCGGTGGGGGAGGGGCAGGGAGGGTAGGAGATTGGAGGTTTATTGCACACATTTCTGCCTTTTTTGTTGCAGAATGCCGTTGTATGCAGAATGGATGCGAGCGTGGCTACGAGTAATTGGCTCGTTGCGTGAATTGGTGTGCGATTTCTACCCTGTGGGATTAATTTGGCAGCCATCTGGTTTTGCTCAGCCTCCACCGGCCCCTCCACGCATATCTGCGCCCATGCATTTAGAATTGAATTCAGACGGAGCATCTATCACTTCCAATACCTCGTCGGTTAGTTCATGAATGCCCTTTTCTCTCTTGGGTTTACCAATGCAAGGTAGACGGCGAGAGTGCTAATTAAATTTGTGATGTTGAGACGCAGTGGTGGACCACTTACTA